ATATATATATAAATTTGGAATAGTTGGAAGATTCTTCATTTATCGTCAAATATTTAACATTTATCATTTAATGTTTTCGATATTTTGAATGTAAATTACTTATGGCAATTTTGTGTAAATTGAACATATACTTAAATTCAATATATTATAGAATTTGATGATAATATATCATGACTATTATTTCCATTATAAACTGATATACACAACATATACGAACGTTTGGTAAAGATAACTAAACTTGAACGACAAAATCCACTTATGTCTACCATCGTCCGCTACTGTCTTTAACCATTTTTATGTTCTCATCATTTGCTATCACAAATAATCACAAATGCCTCTTTACGACTTAAATGCTCGTGATTCTTGAACATTGAAGATTGTCACAGAACGATAATCTTTTGTGTTACACTAAAGATAGCTTACGCGTTGCATTTGACGATGTCTCTATAGCTATCTGTCTAAACGTGCCGTCCTTTCTATGTATCAGGTCATATGAAACACAACCGTTAACGGTCGTAGGCGCTATGTAATGACGATCGCGTGGTATCTAGGCTTCGCATGGCACTGAAGCGACATTAGGGTTGGCATGTGTAATTGAGGGTAGATCGACATGATTGTGGATATATGTGTGAGACGTGCGAAACGTCAATTTCAGTAATTTCATATCGTCTCTGGTATCTTTTGGCGTGTATGCAATGGAATTATGTTCCTTATACAAGCACATATAATTGATTTAAAAGTATGAAGGAATCAAAGAAGCGATATAAATATATATAATACATATAGGTTCTTCTTTCTTTCATACTTTAAAAACAGAGATTGGTTTATACGTATAATATTTTTTTTAAGTGTTACATGTAATCGATTTTAAAGTAAACAATATTTACATTAAGATTATGCACTTAATAAATAATAAACCAAATCTATAATGAGTCAAATTTAATACATTTCCTTAAGTTAAATTGGATTGTTTAATTCCATTGTTTTAGTTAAAGAAATAACACATATTGAGTAAGAGTAGTAGCGAACTATTGAAATTATTAAAAATAACTGAAATTATGCATATAATTTGACATTATGAATTTAATAGTATACACATAGTACAACAGATATTAGATTAGATTGTGTATAAACTTTAAAATAAAAAGTATATAATTTTAATTTTTAACATTATATTTGATTTCAATGAGAAATAGTAACCGAATTTCTTGAGCAAATAATATTTTGCTACTTTAACTTTCATGTATGTCAAATTATAATATTTAACTCCATTTAATTAAATTAACAACATGTTGAGTAGGAACAGTAATGATTTATATTTTACAGAAATAGTTAAAAATAACTCAAAAGTGGAATAATTTGACAGTAGTAAAGAAAAGAAAAAAAATTTTTTATTGTTTTTTTCTTTTTTGTAATACATATCAGTAGATAACATATATAATTCTGTAAAAGTTTTAAAATTCTAACTATTGCTATGTAGGTATAAAAAATAGTATAAAAAATTTTAAAAGTTTTACAAAATTATATGTGTTATCTATATACTGATTATTGCATTAAATTACGTAACATATTCTGTACCATGACAAGAAAACAGTAATGTAATACTACTCATATAAATTGCAGTTGTTTAGCTAATGGTCGTTCCATTATTTAGTTAGCGTTGTTGTTTATTTAACATAAACCAGTCCAGCTATTATTTAGCTAATTACTGTTTATTTAGCATCTGACCAAAATGTTTGTAATTGTCGTAGTGACAGGAATGTCAATAGACAAGTGTGATGGACAACTTTTCAATACGGTACCCTACCGCGGTTGTTTCGGAAACTCACGGTTAATGGAATATTCGAAAACTGTCATTTCGGTATCGTTAAATCGATCCGGAAGCTTCTACAGGGACACAGCTTACGATAAAAATGGCTCATAGAACCGTGTTAATCGGTGACGATGCATATTCACCTGCTGTATATGTAGGTATATCCATTAGCGCTGATAGATTTTGCAACGGACCGTCACGTACATCATGGTGCACCACGATACTCACGATCGAGTTTTTATTCAGCTATTACTTGGATTTGTATATGAGCATTAAATTTACTTTAAACTTTTGCAAAATATCTTGTAGCAAACTATTAGATCGGAGCTAAAGTAATAACTCTTCTCTAGCGCTACTTCATTTGTATTATGTCTTTACATGTTTTTTAAATGGCAATTATATTATTTGATAAAGTTTCAACTTAAAAAAATCTGTTTTTTTGAATTGTAATATAATGATTTTTAACAGAGTTATGAGTAATCAATGTTAAAATGCTCCTTTCATTTAATCTATGATAACTCAGTGACAACAAAATTTAAGAACATTTTTGAAAAACTAGACTTTTTTTTTTAAACTAGCTATAGAAAAATAATTGTCTAGCTTAGTTAGTAATTTTTTACATGTAAAAATTATCAAACTTACCAAAATTCAAAAAAATATAGTGATCTTTTGAAAGTAGAGATAAGTTAAAAAAAAATTTTTTTTTTATTTAAATCCTTTTTCTTTTAAAATTAGATATAAATTATATCTTTCTTTATTTTTTTTAATGAAGTTACAGTTTGAGTTTGTAACGTATTTTGGAGTTTGTAACGTTATGAATTTTTGTTCTAATTCAATATTTTACGTTTAGAATTTATATGTATAGGAGGTATACATAAAACTATGTATACATAAATCAAGCGGCCATCGTTTCAAACGTTTTACGAATATTCTTTTAAGCGTTCTCTAATTCGATATTTTTAAATTTTGATTGGAAGCTATATGTTATTTCGACATTTAATTATTATACACATTTTAAATTATACAAATTATACAAATTTTAATTACAATTTTTAAACTTTAACGGACCGCAGCTGTTTTTCGTTAGTGGAACTAAAGGTTATGAAGCTGCATAATTATTATACATGATTTGGTATTAATGGATTAGTCGTTGATGCTTCTCGCAAAGTCATGCAGAAAACATCGCCGATAATTCACCGGCCAAACTCGGTGAACGGTATTCAATACAAGAGGAATACGAGAAGAAAAGGCACAGGATTCGAATAGAGAACGAATGGCGAATCTAATATCGGGAATTGCATTTGCCTTCAATTGCACTCCCCCTTCCTGACAGCGGATGTAGAGAAACGAACAAAGTGAGGGAAAGAAAGAGTGAGAAAGACAGAAAGAACGGTGACAAAAGTGATAAAAAAAAAAGTAAAAAGTCACTTTCTTTGCGTAAATAGTTTTTTCGTTGGAAAATGTGCTGACGCTTTTGATCCTGGAACAAATCTACGCGCCGGCATTTACTTTGAATTCATATGGATGGCAGTGGATTGCATTATAGAATGTGTTTTATCGCACCTATGCTTTCAAGAGAATAACGTGGATATCTTTGGCGTCAAGATTTAACGCTTTGGCGAAAATTTACGAGGAAATCAGACTCTCATTCAGAGTTTTGCTAAAGTAAAGTCGTTTTAAATTATTAATTCAGAATTAATTAATTTAAGTTATTGAATGTGTAAATATACTCTGTACCTACACAATAAGAAATGGTAAACGATAAATATAGGAAGCTAAATTTTAAGAGGTATAAAAATTTTATGGGTTTCTCTCTGAGAGTTCAATAATTTTCAACAGCTAATTTTACGCTTAAATAGAAATTGCATCCTTTAGAATATACCCATGCATAGGTAGTGTATTTCAGGATTAATTTAAATATCGATTTCTTATAAAAACCGTAAGAAAAAATAGATGCGATCTTCGCGAAAAGTAATTTTAACAGGACGGCAAATCTTCTTTTATGGGAGCTCCGAAATCTTCAAGGAATGCTCTCTAATCACGGTCATTTTCAAGATACGTCTAACATGACAGGGAATAAGATTCCTCCTTCATTCTCGTGGAAATTCACCGTTCAGCCAATTTCCTTCACGCCCGAAAATTTCTGAAAGTTCGCAACCCGATAAGCTGGTTACGAGACTTTTTAAGTCCGTAGCCAATGGCAATGCGATTTCCTGGTTTTGTTTGCCTATAAGAAGCGCGCCGACTGAAAACTCCGTCAGGTGCTTGCTCGCGAGTTCTTGTCATTCCCATCTTGCTTCCACGACTTTCAACGAGCAGCTGCGGGGACCGTGAGATTTTCGCAGATATCCCGCAGGCATTCGCGACATTTCCGCTTTAAATTCACTGCAGATCGTTAGGTACCATAGCTCACCGAGAATTTATTTATATTTTCTATATCAAATTGACCGTACTGAAGAATTTCAAGCTGCTTCATGTTGAAATTCGACAATGCGACTATTCTTTACTTCTTTCTTCGGAAATTCCTTTCCTTTTTCACATAACCCGTTTATATTCCTCCTATCGAGTTTTTATCGCGCTGAGAGACAATTTTTCACGATACGGGATCAAAATGAACAATGTCGGTGCGTTAGCAAAAGCGTTGAATGATATCATGTTCTTTAATCCCGTATAACGCAGAAGAATTGTGAACTGCAATAGCGAATAAGAGTATCATATCATAAAAATGAAAAGTTCAAGCCATGTTCAAAAAAAGATACTCAAAAATTTAAAACTTTTTATCTAATAATAATATATTATAAGAGTATTTCAAATATATAACGCAAAAAGAAAAATATTTGTATAGTTAGAAGTGAATTATTCACAAAAAATATCCGCCTCTTCAATTTTTATTTTAGATTTACTATTATAAAAAGTGTTAAAAAAGTGTTAGTATTAAAATAAAATTAATTATTATTAGATATTGTAGTATATAAGATTGGTTGACCTATAACTTAAAGTTTTATCTCGATAAAACCGTAGCATTTTACGATAAAATGCATTTTTAATATATCAGCGCATTTTGTAATTATCCAAATAATATATTATTAACTCCTTTAATTACATTTTTATCTCTTTAATTACATTTTTATCGAGTATCAGAAAGAACACGCAACACGTTCCCGAGTAATTGTTTTTTCTAGCGCATAATAATTTTTCGTCCTATGCTAGCGTTTTTTTATTACGAAGAAATTCATTATGTAAATCTCATTATTTAATGAGAATTAGAATTGTCATTGCTTTACAATGAATACAATTGTAGTTAATACAATTTTAGCGAGTTTGAATTATCGGAAGGATCTTATTTGTTCTCATTATAACAATTACGTTAACTAAATTTAATCATAATTGTTGACAGTAATTATTGCGAGAGATTGCGAGAGGTTTATGAATAACATATGTGTCGATAATATTATAACGACCTAGAGTACAAACAGAGTAAAGCTGTAATTCGTAAGATTGTTTCCTCTGCGGCAATGTCATAACATCATATTTGTCGTGATAGCTTTCTAGTAGATATTAATAAATAAATAATTCAATAATGAGAGATTAACGCGTAATAACGTATTAATCGAAGCTTCACGTGAGAGGGAAATTAGTCTCGACTTCATAGTTAATAACGCGTTTATCGATACCCCGAGAATTACGCGTGTTTGCGTATCTATTTGTGTAGTAATATTACGCGGCGTGGAATTCGGTTAATGTTAATAAATTTCTAATCGCAACACAAGAATGGCCTATGCAACACATTAATTTCGTAAATTGATCAGTGATTTTGCACGCACGCGCGGAAATCTGTTCTGGCACACGCTAATAAGTGATAGACTTTTAATTATTTACAACATGCAAAATTTCGTATACGCGTGAGTTCACGCTTAAATAACAGTTAACGGATACGTGTGCTGTAATTACAAGAATCGCCGTAATGCATATACTTTAATTTAATCAGCGAATTTATTATATGCAGCTCCGATGCAGGTAGATGAAAGACACAATCAACAAAACAAGAAAGAATTTCTGAATATATGTACATGAGTGTGTGTGTGTGTGTGTATTTAGCCCATTATCACTCGTGCTATTAAAAAGGTAAGAGAACATTACATGTCTCATTTACTTAAGCGATGTATTTTCCCTTAAATTATAGAGATGTCTCTCCTCTGTCCCACATTTATCAAGCATGTTATTTAGTAATATTGAATAATTTACGGAGTACTGCAATTTTAAACGGAAGTGGACAATAGGCAGTTTATTAAAGCCGCTCAAAATTTATATTTATGAAAACCATATATCCGATAAAACAGAATAATTTTCTACTAAAATTACGTATTGACATGAGGTAGCGTACAGTTAATGAGAGAATTCCATTAAGGTTTTTCTATGTCGATCTGAATTCTAGAGTAACAATTCCGTATTGTGATGATTTGATTAATGTATAATATAATTTAGTATATTATATTAAGTGCAATTATATTAAGTGCGTTTTCTCGTTGAATAATTAACAATGCACACAATATATATTTCACTTTATATTTCTATGTATTAGTTTGGCGTTTTACAAAATATTTCAATATTAGATTTCATTTATCTGAATGTTAAAAAATGCAAGTACTTCATATACTTTATTAAATTGCGTTTCTGTTGATAGGTTGAAAAATTGCGTATAATAGATTTTTTGTTTTTGAATTATTTTAACTGTATAATTATTTAAAATATGTAAAAAAATTATTAGGGTACCTATTGCGATAATAAGAAGTAGAAGTATATTATACAATTTTATGTTTTATGTTACATTTTGCGTCGTGGCTATATGGTATGTAAAATTGGCTTTATTTGATATAATGTAGAGATACCAGAGTTATATTTCATATAAAATTCCGTAGCAAAGTTTAAAAATATGTTCTGCCAGTTTTCCGTTTTAAAAATTTGGTAGTGGAGTGGTTTATAACTACACGCCCAGTTCTATCAGCGCAGAAATCCAAATTCGAAATGTAAACCACTTTTCCATATACGAAATCGCATTTCGTGTACTCTCGCTTTACACGAGACTTTTCAAAGCATGATGTCCCTGCACTTCGCGCGAATTTCAGAGATTTTAAGCGCCGAGCCGTCCTCTCAAAGCGAATTCCAAACTCCGCATCCATAGATAGTTCGAATTGCATTATTGTGCGGTAAAATATGGAAACACGTGGTATGGAATCCATTTTTTCCCCTTCAGCTGTTTCTTATGGTTAAACCTGTGGCTGGATATGCCAGTGAATGCTTGCGGAACTGTGAATTAAATAACTCAGCCCCGACGATTTACGTGTTGAATAATTAAGATGAATTAAATGTTAGGACAGAGCTTCTTTTTAATTACGTTATTGCATTGTACCGTAATAGAATGACCGCAGGCTGGTTAACAAGTTCCGAGAAATTTCATGTTCTGAGAATGTTTAGCAGAGTACGTATATCTGCGAACTTACAATTAGTTTGTTTTATAATACATAATACAATCTAGGTAGGCATAATATACACATATAGAGTTAGTTTAGTGCGGATATAACAAACCGCTGAATGAGTTTATTGCAGATATAACATATGTAGTATTATTGAGGTTTTAGAGAAAATAGAAAGCTATGATAGAAAATCGATTATTATCGACAAAGTGTGTACAAACTTTACGCGTTAAATATATAAAAAAGGAATTAAAACAATCATTAATATTTAATTTATGTAAACGATTAATAATCAATAATGGTTAATAATTAATAGCAATCAATTCTTATTGCATGTGCTAGAAATTACTGTATTATTCACTACTTTTATTTTCAGATTATCCAGATTTAAAATTGTACATATTGTAAAGTTTTACACATTACCAAACTTTTTTTTACGGAAAGAATAACTTAATTAAAGTACTTAAAATTTAATTAGATACAGATTTGAAAACAATTTTGTTGGATTATCAAAATATTAATTATGTGAAACGTTTAAATGTTAATAATAATGTTGCAAATATTTATCATTCTAGTAATCAATTAATTTTCTTATCTAGAATCTACTTTAAGAGATATATATTTCTTTTATAAGCTATTATTGACACACTAATTGTTTAGTTTTAATAATAATAAATACGAATAGATAGACTTTATATTACTATTCCAGCTAAAATATAATAAAACTTTTTGAGATTGAGAAAAGAAATTTCATGTTCTACTGACGCTTCTAATGCACGGTTTTCTCAAACTTTTTAATCTTAGATATTATATAACTTGCTGTAGACCTTATTAGGAAATGCTAATTGACATTGAATGTTAAACTCATTCATATTCTATAGTGGATACACTTGGTGGAAAAATTCTCGTTTGGCTGCGTTGATATAGTAGCCTGGTCATAGTGTCATTCATATTCATACCCCAACAGTGAGTTTATCCGATGTTACTCGATGCTTTGATTTAATGAATAAACGATACTCAGTGGAATTGTTGCAAATTTAGGTCAAAATATCCACATTTGTTCTGTTACTTATGCTTCTATTGAGTTCGTAGTAATCGGTTAACAAATTGCGTATTACGTCATATGCAAATTATATACATCACGCAATCGAAATTGTAAGCAATCCAGACATACAGCATTTTACCTATCGATGGAATATGCAATAATCAATTCATATACATAGTTAATGTATTATATGGTCAATGTATATTTTTTAATTGAAATATATTGGAAAGCTTCAGCATTGAGCGTTTTATTATCATGTGATGACGGATATTAAGTAATAAGAAAAATTGTCAGATTGATAGCTTAATTAATAGTTTTTTAATACAAATAGAAATATAACACAGAAAAGCCTTTTCTATAAGTTAATATATAATATGCTTATATGGTATAAATTAGTATGTGTTGCTTAACGGATTTTGAATATCTTGTTGTTATTCTTGAATGAAATGTGTACTCACCATGTATGTTGGGTTTAATATCAACTGTTAGTGGTTCCATGAGTGCAATATTGTTGACTTTACACGTGAATGTTGTGCCTAACTCTTCTCGTGTAATTTGCATCTCCAGTAAACTACTGCCAGTACCAATTCCGGTATCAGTAACAGTCCTTGAGTTTGTTGCTGCAATAGAACATTTCTTAATAGATATTGTTCAGAGAGAAAAAGAATTCTTATTATTCTTATTATCCATTATTTTAACAAGTAATATAAATTTGGTATAATACATACTGAACATATATATAAAATTACAATAACATTTCATATTTCTTTAAAAGTGCACACACAGTTAATCATATAATAAAAAAAGAAAATCCTGATAATACCATCGAATAATTGATCAATTGTTGAATTATCGTATGACTAAATTATTTAATAAAAGGATATTTATAGAAAATTATCAATTAAAAAAATAAGTTTGTCTTATTTTCTTTCAAAGTATGAATTTACGAACAGGTCTGATCCTATCGGTTTCAACGTAAGCAAATTGCCAATTTTACCTTCGAGTAGCTGGTCATCTTTAAACCACTCGACCGTAGGTACAGGTTTGCCTTCTCCGCTTTCGCAGTACAATGATATTATCGAACCTTCGTTTATAGGTCCTAAAGTGGCGCCGGTACTCAAAGTATTTTTGGAATTTTCATCGATGACACGTACAAACGCTGGTTGCACTGGAAAAATATAATATAAAAATTATATAGAAGATTGTTTTACTTCATAATTATTTCCACTAGCTTCAAATATGTCGCAAGAACTTAAAATTTCATCGTAATATTCTTATCTGCGTTACGATATATATGATACTTGTTAAATTACCGTATAAAATTATACATTTTTTTTTTCATCATCAGTGTCTCGAAATATACGTCTGCATGAAATAGCTCGTTTCGTTATGACTCTTATTTCCTGTTCGGATAAGTTCTTAATATAAACCTTTTGATGAAATGACGTTTATTACGATAAAATTTCTTAACAAAAATGTACGTTGTACACATGCTATATTACACACAAAGATAGTACTCCATGGAAAACCACTTATTTTGCTTTGATGTTCGAAATAATAACGAGAATGATCCGTAAAAAATTACGATATGTTTCAATATAAATAAAGCATTAGTTTTGTTTAAAGTTATGTGCGATTGCTTTTCGAAGTATCGTAAACGTCAATATTTAAAAATTAATCTGTTGTTTTGCATTTGGACGCTATAAATAACGATATCCTGACTAGTGAGATTTTAGACGTACGTTATTTCGAGGATATTGACATTTTCAAGCGTTTCGATTCATGTAAATCGATGAACAGCTCCGATATATTATTCTATCGGTTTCAGCGTAAGCAAATTTTATTCTCGACAATTCATATTTTTGTTCTGTATCGGTGCCTTCCAACAAGCGACACAGATGACACGGTGTGACACAGTGTATCAGTATATCCTTATTGTTCGCCAATGTTAAACAAGGATGAGATAATCACTGTGTCGTACCGTGTCGCTTGTTGGAAGGCACACTATATTTTCGGTTTAAATTGGTAGATACAGATTCCACTATATATATATACACACACACACACACACACACGCACGCACGCACGCACGCACACACACACACACACACACACACATACAGCTGTTGGAACAAAAGTTTCTAGCATTATTTTACTTGTATCATGTTTATATATGTTTAAAAATAGTTGACAATCAAAGTAGTGAGCAATCAAAAAATGTTCCTTTTATTTAATCCATGATAATTTAATAAATATAACAAAAAATTCTAAAAAATACAAGTTTTAAAAAATGATTTTGTAGGAAAAACTTTAAGCTATCACGATAGTAAGTAGAAAGTTAAAGGTTTTGTAAGATTTTTTTGAGCGCGTAACAGGCCTACGAAGTGAGTAGAAAGTTTTGTCTAGTTTATAGTTTTCTGTATGTAAAACTTACTAAATTCACAGAAATTCAAAAGATATAGTAATTTTTTGAAAGTATGTAAAGATTTTAAGTTAAAAAATTCTTTTTTAAAATTTTAAATTTCGTTTATTTTTAACAAAATTATAATTGCTTGAATTTTGAAATTTGTAACGCGCTACGAACCTTTGTTCCAAACCATTTTTATACTTGTTACGTCAATTTTATTTTAACTTTATCAAATTAGGTAACTCCCAGATGGTTTCTGTTTTTTTTTTATATTTAAAATGCGTTTATATATTTAACTAGGTGTATACTATATATATAATTACGTTTTAGTATGCTAGACTAAATTCATGACAATTTTATTAATTTGAAGTGCTGTCTATAATGACTTTGTTACAATAAACGATTTAATCACGACATTATCAGTGTTATCACGTCCTATTCTTTTGCCAGTATGTTCGATCTGATAGAGTTTTGTCTTCTCTACGCGATGAAAGAAAGTAAAGTATGCTCTGAAATTCTAAACCATCGTCACATCGATTTTCTGGCGTGAGGAATTCCGTAACTTTCTACAATTCCTACGAGAGTAAAGTGACTTCCACTTATCGAATAGGCGCTATGTTCTTAGGACACTATAAATCAGATCCCCGGTAACACCGACTGAATGCACTCAGCCCGTGCTGTTCTATTACGTTAGCTGTCGGTCTACACGTACGCATGTGCATACAAATCCACCTATCGCATATGTACGTGAGACATTTGCATGCATTCACGTATACATTCGGTGTAGCATTAAGGGTGCTTACGCGCAAGTACTGTTTTTAAGGATAATCGTACGGCAAAAGTGATTCAAAGAATTGCTAATGATGGAAAGTAGGTACATCTACGTGCATAGAAGCTTTTCTGCGGAACATACTTTCATTATATTTACCACGTTTTGATATTTATCATGACTGAAAATTACCTTGAGCCTCTAGAGTCAACATCGCCTCGTCATAAAAAAATTTTTTTATTGATAATGAATGTAAGGCACATGAAGCGCAATAATTGGCAAAATATATATATTGTTTATTAGAGCTTATAATATAATAATTTCGAACGTTTTGACTCGTCTTCCTCAATGAGATGTGTTTTTACAATACTAAGACCTCGTTACATCATCCTATATAGAAAAAATACAATAAAATGATATAAAGGCTAATAAGAGTCGTACAACAGTAAAAGATATGTTCATAGTAAAGTCATCACAAAAAATAGCATTTTTCATAAATATTGATTTGTTTTTTAAATAAAAATCGAAAAAGAAATGTTTAGAAATGATCCATGGAAATGACCTATATACATGTTTCTCTTCGTCCATATACGTGAAACTAATTTGCGTAAATCCCGGATTTATCTCAAATTTAATTTTGAAATAAACGTTGCAAATTTGCAATACTTTTGCCTTTAAAATATTAAAACTGTTACTATTTATCTGTTTATCTATTTAAAAAAAAAACCGATAATTTGTAAATATATTATTACTAACGTATATTTGATATTAAATTACATATTATATATAATTTGTGTTTAAAATTTATGCAAATAAAAGAAGATTTTTAATCAATAATAAATAACATTAAATCAATATATGAACACAATTAATAATAAGTAGAAAAAATTTTATTTGATTTCATATATATCTTTATGTTTAATAATAACATTTTATGTGTGTAAGTTTATATACCTATGTATCCAGTTCTACAAACAATGCGCCAATTTATCTTCGGATATTGACATGATATATGAGATATGTGATTTACAAAATACTATGAATCTTTCATTAAAAGTATATGAACTTTTAGATTCAAATATTGGCATATATTTGATAGGTACTTTTATTTTATTTTAATTAAATTGTCTTTGTCCGTTTTTTGTAACGACCTATCATTTGCCAATGACACAATCGATCAGATTGTGTCATTGGCAAATGGTAGGAAATGAGAATTTGATTGTAAAAGAAAAATCTTCTACTCTGACTATTTGAAAAATCAATAAGAGCTATGAAAAGCTGTTAAATATTCTTGCGTTGAATCAATTCATGTTAAAATTATTCGATTCGTTTGGAAAAAATCACAATTAAATATTAAATGTGTAAATTAAAAAAGTTAAGCAGTTGAAATCAATGAAGCAAATGTAATTTAGGATTTATATAGGAACTTTAGTGTAATAGTTTTCTTAGGATTGTTCGCCCTAATTATATTTCATTCGATTGGAAATTATATTTATTTTATTTGGTCGCAATCTGCTGTTTAAATCCAGACCTAAATCCACCTATCTTTTTTACATTTATTTCGTAAAGAAAGAAACTAGCGAAGACAATGGTTTCTTAGATCTTATCGCTTTTTATTGCTTACATGTTTCTTCCAAGTATTTCCAAGAGATTACCGAGAGTATTTACGCTAAATTGAAATCTATACATATAATAGCGGTTTAAACAAGAAATAAAGACATTTTTCTTGTAATACGTACATTTTCAAGTTTTGTGTTTAATTAATTATGAATTGAGTTGTTATATCACTTGAGATACCTACACTGTTAAATCTGTAATGTCAAATTTAATCTAATTTATCGTCAAAGCTCCTACTCAATATATCATTGATTTATACTATAATAAAACTACGATTAAATTTGACATTATGTACACATAGTTTCAAATTTAACTATTTTAGTGTAAAATTACGATACATTGAGTAGGAATAATGGTAATTTAAATTAGGTTAAATTTCATATTGTATATTTAACAGTGTATATAAATTTATTACTACGAATAGTAACAACAGTTAGTATTCATTAAATATCTAGAAAAATAGACATTTTTCCAGTAAATTATTTTAAAAATAAATATCATTCCTTATTTTAAGATCATATGTTTGAAACATGTTTTCAAAAATTGTATAAAATTTAATAAAACGGATTATGAAAGAATAATGATTTTTATTCTTTACATCGTTCATTAAAAGTATTAAAAAATTGTTAACTTTCTCATTAGTCATATCTATAATTTTAAAACTGTTAAGAATAATAAATAATAATAAATAAATACGATCTCTATTCTGCTGAAGTAAAAGTTCTAAATTTATATTTAATAAGGTCATTTAAAAAAAAGTCTACATATCGTATATATTTTAGTTGCTATAATTTAAATTTTGCTTCTTGAGATTTAATATGACTGGATGAAATCAAGGAATTTGTTCGCATATATTTAAAGTTGAGCAAAAAACATCGGACAAATACGAGTATTATTAAGTAAGAATTATAATAGCATAGTATTTTTTTCGGTAAACTCGCAGTAATATTTCAAATATAATCTCATGATTTTTCTAATGTTCGCATATTCCTACAGTAGTGCTCTTTTAAATACATGAGTATCAAATAATTTTTGATGAATCATTTTAGGAATTCATAAGTACCTTGGGTGAAATATAATAGTAAATTTTTATGGTCGTCTACGAGCCATTGTGTAATTTTAAATCATTTTCGCAATTTTCCGGTGATCGAGAAAATTACGTTCACGCGCCGTTTACACAGAAATAATCATAATATATATGTTGTTAATATACGATAAACATGTATTATCTTTACTTGAATATTAATAGATTAATACTTAGGCTCGTTGCAAAATTGATCAATAAGAAATATTTAACAAAACGCCACGTGCATGGTGTATTAAATAATTTGTTAACATTTCTGTACACTTTTTATTTGAAAAGAATGATATTTGG